GTAACCCCCCCCCCCCCACCCACCTCCCGTGGTCACAAAAGAACGCTTCATTTTGAATAGCGTGCAAAATCGCATGACACTAGAAAAATATAATACCCTTTATGTTCCAAATTCAAATGAAAGTTTACTATTCACAAAGTTAATTTTTTTTAACTTATTTTTGTTACTCATTTGATAAAATACTGATTATATTACTCTGTATCATTTATTCCGTAAACCAATTTTTTAATTTCACCTCAATTCATAAATAAATTGAATAAAAAATAATTCAATCAAATATTATAAATTGAAACTCATGATTAATTTGTATGGAAGAAGCATATGCTGCTGAGATCTAAAGATGTATTTTATTTTTTGTAGAAGAGAATTAATACAACAATTCTTTTACCACATTTTAAACTATTCATATCTTCCATTTTATTTTATTTTAGTTTTTTGAAAAATCTACATTATGATCGAAAATTACTTAACTCATATAGCATTATCTTAAAGTTTCACAAAATCCCATCCTCGTTTCCTACTTTATCCTATAGAACAAAAGCTAATACACCCCTACAACACATATAGACTTAAAACATGTTAAATTATAGAGCAATTTCATTTCATACAAAACATGTTATATATCACACCAAATGTAGTATAAGATATGGTTCTGAACATGCAATTACATAGACCCCAATTCATTCAGAGGCATAATTTGCTAGAAACAAAAGAAGCTAAAATTATGTTTTACTGTGCCAAAGCACTGGTGTTGTAAACCAGAAGGACACCTCCGGCAAGAAGACCGGCAAGCGTCACTGCCCATATCGCCAATCCCGTCGTACCTGCATCACAACCCGCCCAAACACACACACACACATTAACACCATCATCAATTTTATTAAAAAAAAAAAGCAAAATGTATGTATAAGATTTACTCCCGGTCCCAAAAAAATGTAAATTTACCCGAAATGTAACTAGTGTTGAAAAATAAAAACTGCATGATTAAATTTTTTGGTTGTCAATCGAAGAAGGATTTTTATATTCTAACACTAATTAATGGAATAATGTTGTTTCTTTATTACCTCCAACATAAACATCACCCGTGGGAGACCATTCCTCCTCCTTGTAGATGGGACTGAAATTACACCAAGTGTCAATTACATGAAATCGTTTAATCTGGTAACACGTACACACACACACGTATATGATATATACACACACAGTGGCGGAGCGAGTACTTTTTTATTGTGAGGAGCACCAATGTACATCAATATCATCGAAATGCAATAAAATACTAATATAGTTAAGATAAAACTCAGCCAATATTAACAAATAATTAAAAGTTTGGTTAACAGTTAACACTGAGCCCTTGAAATCTATTGGTTTTCATAATAAAGTACTCCATGAGATTGCTGAGGGATCTTCTGATTGTTAAGATCTTTGAAAGGTTTCATTAAAAGAATAGCCACTGAAATATTTGGGTTTCTTTTTTTGGATTATGGGTCAAATTTAATTGGACTTGAGTTTAAATTAAGGGGTCCAATAGAAAGGGATGCAAGTTTTCACTACAAAAATTGTGAGCATATTGATATTTTCATTAGGACATGGGGTTGAGTGCAACCCATTGACCTTAATTAGCTCCGCCACTATCTGCTAAGCATTGTATGATAGGTACAAGTATACAACACACACACGCACGCGCGCGCGCGCACACACACACATCACCTGTATCCATCGACGTTAGCCCCGTATTTGTCAACAAATTGGTACACGCCTTTTCCCTGAATTATTATTGTATTAGTAATAAACAAAACAATAATGACACATACAGACTCACTCTACACACCCCATCTCACATGTGGATGGGTCCCTCTCGGGTGAGGGCCCCTCGCATGTGAGATTGGTAGAGTGGGTCTCTATGTGTTTTCTCGTGGGTGCATATGCTCCTAAATAATACATAGGAAATAAACTAAAAATGAGCCTAACTTCTCCTAAATCACAGACGGTTAAAAACGGACTTGGATATGTTGAAACTAAGTGTCTATGCTTAACTTATAAACCTAAGAAATATTTGGTGACTCAATGCTAAGTGCAGAAATGTGATATTCGAACCCCAAACCAATTGGCAGTGGAAGGAGTAACTCATATTCTTATATGTATGTACGTATGTATAGAATTGTAAAGTGAAATATCTTCAAACAAGAAAGACAGTGTGTTTGGGCTGAGAAAGGCATGAAAGAAAGAACCTTGGTCCTGCTACCAGAGGCATCCACACCATTCCTCAAGGCCAATCCTCCATTTATACCTATATACAACACACACCCACAAGTTCATTAGTTAAAGATTAATACATACCAAAATAGTTCTACAGAAATATTAGTCGCCACTCCCTCCCCCTCTTTCTCACCATTTTTTGATACATAAAATTAGAAAAAAAATAAAATTGCATAGTTGATAATGAATTTGTATAATACAAAGTTGATTTCATCCACATAAATCATATCGAATACGGAGTGAGATATGAGGAGACAAAATTTGGAACATATCAAAATGATAAAATGTGACAAAAATAACGTTCCAATCACCACGATCAAAACCTCAAACTTGTGATTGGAGGCTCATTGAGTGGATTCACGTTCTAACTTCTAACACACATCTCAAGCTATGTCTCTTCGCTCAAACATTGCAGGTGAACATTAATTTCTTTTAAGTTGATGACAGTGAAATTCGGATTCATTACCTAAGTAACCAGAAAAGTTGAACATAATTTTGGGACTAGGGGACCAAGTTATAATGTGGTTAGATTAATTTTAGAGTGTAATTTAGGAATATAAAATTTATTAAACTTTGCAAAGTAAGGATTAGGGTTTTTAGGAAGGGAGGTAACAATGGATAAAATAGAACATATATATACCGAAAGGCTTGTCAGTCTTGAGTTTCTTGCCGCCGGCGCTGGCAACGAGTCTTAGCGTGGTGGTTCTGGCGAGCGAGGGCAGCCCCCTCGCGGCGGTTTTCTTCCCGGTGACGGCGGAGGACGGCCTTAGGGCATAAACTGAACTCGTGACTGAGGTTGCCATTTGCGCGCAGATGATCTATCTCTCTTCTTTTGCCTTGTATCGCCGATTCTGAGCAGGGGGGAAGGGAAATTGGGCTTCTTCGTAGGAATTTGTGATTTCCATCGTCACACGTGGCACTGCTCTTGTGGATCGTTTTCAGATATGGCATGATGATCCTATCAAATGTTAGGGGTCACAAACCTATACAACATGCTTTTTGCGGATTTTAAATTAAAATATCTTTGTTATTTGAGTGTATCTTATTTTTAGGAAAGTATTAAAAACACAAATTTATGAATTTTGTGAACTGCTTGTTTGTAACTCTAGCATTACTCGTTACAATTTTTTTATAATCTAAATAGGAGTTAAAGTGAATTAAAATTGTTAAACATGGTCGTGTACATTATCACAAAGTATAGTAATGTGCATATATACAATGTCATATTACAACTACATTACTACAGTGCGAAATCATATTTTAAGAATGAAAATATGAAAGACTTATTTTGATATTTTTTCTATGTTTTGATCCTATATAGAGAAGATAAGGCACAATAGGTAAGAATCATCAATTTCCGAACAAATAGTATAAGGATCTTAAGTCATGGGAAAAAGAACATGCTACAATAGGTAAGGCATGATAAGATAAGGCATGAGAAGATGGATCTTAAGTCATGAGAAGATAAGGCACAATAGGTAAGAATCATCAATTTCCGAACAAATAGTATAAGGATCTTAAGTCATGGGAAAAAGAACATGCTACATGTACATTAAAATTTGTACCTCATTTGTATACCAAAGGTATGCAATAACAATTTGATGGTTCACTCTGACATAAAGTATTGGTGCGTTAACAAAAATTTACACTGACATAAATGTTGCTGCGTTAACAAAAATTAGCATTACACCAATACAAAATGTCGATCCATCGTTACAATATACAAAATGAGATATAAATTCTTGGGGTACAAATAGAATTATCCAGAGTAAATTTCATCATTGGTCCTTTATAATAGGGGGTTTCCATATTTAGTCCTTTATTATCAAATATTACCTCCGTAGTCCTTTTTTAACGGTACTTTTCCACAAATGGTCCTTTTTTTGATTTTCTGTCATGTTGGTGTTAATTTAAAGGCTAAAAGTATAATTTGACGTAAACATTATGTCTAGTGACGTGTTCTGATATTGGTTAAGCGGATAACACAAAAATAATGACTATGATTGTGGGCTAGGATTCTGACGAAAGATCACATTTGTAGACTATAGTTGTCATAAAAAGCGACTGTAATTCACAAACGACGCAAACAGAACAACCTTTGGAATTGTGTATGACAAAAAAGATATATTATCATTGTGAAATTGCATTTTTAGTCCTCAAATTAACACTAACATGATAGAAGATTAAAAAAAGGACTATTTGTGGAAAAGTACCCATAAAGGAAGGACCAATTGGATAATATTTGATAATAGAGACTAAATAGGGAAACCCTCATGTTATAAAAGACCAATTATAAAATTTACTCAATTATCCATGTGAAAAAACTAGGAAATCCCGCTTTTCCCGTTACTACGGTGGCGGTTCCCGCTGTCAACTTGACTTTCCGCCGGCCCTTTCGGCAAGGGCACCGCATAGGGTCCATGGATTGCGGTAAAGATGGCTGCTTTGAGCTGTCTAACTTTGGATGTTTGCCAAAAATGGGTCCCATTAGATTCTATTTTAGGACCTACATATTTAATACTCCCTCCGTCCCAAAATATTCACAACTTTGCTTTTTCAGCAGTGTCGGGAACTTTTGTTTATTTCGACGTTTTCATTGATTATTTGATAAAATAAAATATTCTTGACACCTCTTATTTCAAAGAACTTTTCATGTAGTTTTTTTATATGTAAATTTATTTTTTATTTCTTTACCAATATGTAAATAAAATGAATTGAAAAAACTTAATATTTTGTCTCGGGAATACAAATATGGCAAATAATTTGGGACGGAGGGAGTATTCTTATTTCACTGTCAAATTGTTTCACTTTAACCTTTGAGCTGTAACAGACTAACAGCCTGCAAACATTTGCTTCTATGGTCTATCTATTGATCTATTCATTCCACTAGAATTTAGAGCACGAGCAATCCTAGGTTCACAAACATAATAATCACAAATTTTATAAATTTATTATTTATGATTTAAACTTTCATTTTAAAATTACTTTAGACCATTTAATTTTTTTATTGAAATTCACAAATAGTAATTTTGTAAAATTTGTGACTATTGCATTTCTCTAGAATTTATCGCCTTATTTTGCTACTTAAAGTCAAATTGTTTTCCTTTTTTAATACTTATTTCTCTTTGAATCTCGTGACGTTAAGAATCAATATCGTGTGATGACCCGGAGTGTTTCGGTGAATCGATGCCTTTGTTCGTAAAATTGACGGTTCCTATTCTATTTGTTAGCCGCCAACCCTTATTTTCTTTAATTTTTCTCTTTTCTGTCCAAAGATATTTTTTACATGTAAAATGAAGTGATGTTTCAAAATTTTCAATTCAATTTATTTAAAGATTTCTTTAGAAATTAAAAATATACTCCATTCGTTCTGAGTACATATTTAAAAATTTTTGAAAAGCTCTAAAAAATAAAGAGTTAAAAAAATATTTTATTTTATCAAATAATCAATTAAAACACACGAATAAACTTAAGTTTTTGTGACTTTTAAATAGTGAGAGCAATTCTTTTTTTAAACGGATGATGTAATAACATATTAATGTCACATCTCGTTTTATAAAGAATTTAATACTCCCCTTTCCATTATAAGTTGCATGTTGTTGCTTATTTTTTTTTCAAATGAACTTATATGAAAATTGAGATAGGCTTAAAAAATAAAATTTTTATATTAAAAAAACATCAAAAGTTCTGCAAAACAAGATGTGACAGGATTATATTATTTTATCAAATGAACAACAAAAATAAGTAATGAAAATAATTAAAATTTAACCATGTAAATAGTAAACAATCAACTTCAATTGGGACGAAGAGGGTATAGTTTTGTAATATTTAAACTTTATTTTGAGATTTTGGATCATTATTTAAATAAATTTAATTTTATATAAATCTACTCAACCATCTTGATTAATAGAATTTCTTAACATATTCAATATTTAGCTTTAGTATTTTGAAAAAATTATTTAACGATGACTTTTGAATAGCTATCTTTGGTAAATAAAAATATATACATATAATGTTAAAATTTTCGATACTAATTGTGATTTGTCAACTAATCTACGACTAGTCCATTAGTCTCCTCTTCACCAACTCGACTCGACATCCTAATAACCATATACCAACTGAGGACGTATCGAAAATGATCCAACATCAACTTCTAGTATTGAATTGGCCAACCACGCTAGGGAAACACTAAAAGTGTATCCCAAATTGATACCAAAGAAATACACCGATATTTTAACGGTTCACACGGATAAAAATGTTAGTTCAATTGAAAAAATTTGTATTGACATTTTTTGTCAATGTAAATCATAACACTAGCATAAAATGTCAATGCATGCGAACTTTAAATTTTGATATACATATAGCTTAATCCTTGATTTGGCCTCAATTCAGTTCAAATGTTTGTTCAACTTTTCTTTGACAAGATGTGTATTCAACTTGTCAGCCCTAAAATAGTAAATTGGCCCCCAATTTGGTCAAATGTTTGTTCAACTTGCACAATTGGTTTGACAATTGACAAATCAAATGATTAGGGTGACTTTTAGTTCACATCAAATTTCAATTTTACACTTCCCAAACAAGATTTGTCTTTCATAATACTCCAAAAACAGTGGGTGAAAATATTCAATGGCCTTTAGAAAGCATCAAAAAAACACATTCTTTCATGTCCCTAAAATATGCTTTTGTTACAATCAGACTAATAGGAAACCCTCTCTTTTTTCTTTCTCTAGTGAGTGCTCAAACTGATTATGGTTACAGAAAAGGAAAAAAAAAGTAGCAATAGACAGACTGCAAATTAAATTATAAAACTCACTCAAAGTTTGTTCAGATTTCTCTCCCAAATGTTAGCTTGTGGCTAAAGTTGTTTTAACATCTGTAGAAGAGTCAACGGCATGCAGGTTCAATCCTCTCGTCCGTCCAGGGGCCCCGCCCTTAAGCGAAGACAAGTCCAGAAGAAATCTGTAAGAAAAAAAACTTTCTTTAACTATCAAGAAGCCAAAACAAAAGCTCAAGCTTGAAGGTGTGAGCCAAGAAAGGGTTTTAATATTCTAATAGTAATGTCCAAACAACAAGCCCCATAAAATCCCACAAAATGTAGTGTTTCAGTTTACATTGTAATGATCTGATGGATTATCTGAATAAGAAGGCATAAATACCTTTTGTTGAAGGTGTTTTCTTGTTCTCCGGAACCACAGTTTATATGTATCTTCTTTGGATCAACAATTGACACGCAACTTACCACGTGCGAGTCAGCAGCTAATTTTGGAGCTGCATTTTGCAATGGTTCCAATTTTGAATGCATAAAACTCAAAACCCAAGCATCAAAAAGACTTGAAAGCATTTTGTGGATGACTTACGTGTTTTATGGCCGTTCTTGAGACCGTCACTGAGTCTCAATATAGCCTGCATCAGTTTGAAGATATATAGTCATGTTAAGTTCAAATCATCAGCTATGCTTGGCAGTTGATAACCAACACAATAGCAGCAGCAGCAGCAACAAACCCAAAGGACAGATTATGGAATATTTTCAAAAATCGAAGACCACAAATGTAATACTCCCTCCGTCCCAATTTAAATCGCCTGTTTTGACTTTTGGGCATATTTAAGGAAAATAAAAAATAAAGTTGATTTTCCGAAATTGACATAACTTTTTAGGAGGGGTGATGATGAATGAGAAAATAAGATGAAGAAGTATGACTTATTTTAGGGGTAGTTTAGGTATTTTATTTTTAAAAGTTTACGAAAACAACTAACAGGCAACTTATTTTGGGACGGAGAAAGGCAAACAGGCAATTTAAAATGGGACGGAGGGAGTACCTTAGAATTAGGGACTAAATATGGAAAAACGCCTGTTATAATGAACCATTTATGGAATTTACTCTTCTAATCATAAATCACCTTGAGAGACTTGTAGCAAATCTCAAGGTCATCATTGACCAATATGTGATCAAAGAGGCCGGGGGATTTCCCCTTCTCAAGCTCTTCCCTAGCATTTCGGAGACGCTTTTGGATCTGCTCTTCTGTCTCACAGGGGGATCTCAATTAGTGGTTTGTTTGTCTTGGAATGCTTTTAGTCTTCTTTTTTTTTCCCTTTACTTTGTACCCCCTCCCCCCACCCCCCATCTTATCGCGCGCTGTATTGTTCCGGAACAGGGTGGAACGGGCTTCCGCGACGAGTTCGAAAAGTATGCTTCCCCCTCACTATTTATACTTTTACCGAAGTTCTCAACTAGCCCTCACAGACTTTGCTCCTTGAACATCAATGTCAAGTATGCATCTCTACACAACAAAATACACAGCATGCTTTCAATAATCACATACTTAACAATCCACTGCAAGTCTGCATTTTCTTGAATCATATCCTGGCCTAAATTTGCGCAATATCTCCTAGTCCAACATAAGTGACCAATATTCTCTCATGAGTGTTATGCACATTCAATAAATTATACTCCGTAGTACATTACAAAATTTCAGAAGTGACCAAAATTCCTTCCCAAAAGTATTATAGATGCATTCAGTAATGGGTCAGAATTAGGATTAAATTTTTTTAAAAAAAAACAATTTTGATTAGAGAACAATAAATTACAAATGCAGAAAACAAACCTTTCCAGAATCAGCAACAACTTCAACAGCATCTACACTAGTTCCATATAGATTTCCATGGACAGTGGCAAACTCAAGAAACTTCCCATCCCTTATTTCTTTCTCCATGGTGCATCGGTCCGTAAAATGGTAATGAACACCGTCTTGTTCCTTCACCCTGGGAGCCCTGGTGGTATGGCTTACAGAAAATCCAAACTTGGAAGGAAATTCTTCCATTAGTTTGGAAATCAATGTTCCTTTCCCCACTCCAGAAGGGCCACTGATAACGATCGGCTTCACAGCGTCACCTATAACTCCTTTGCTCCAGGCAACCACTTTCGTTCCCAAATTCTTCTCTTGTTCTCTAACAAAAGGGGTATTCACCTACATATAAGTCAAAACCCCCTTTGGTGGTAAGAAATAGATTTTAGTAAACAATGGTCTCAAGACATAGCCTAAGTGGAGATGTAAGCAATACACCAGAAAATGATGAAGAAAGTTAATGGGAAGGACAATCAAGAGAAAATTTGAAATGAAAGAATGGATTTGCCGACCTCAAGAAACCAAAAGCAGTCAGACAGGGTTGAGTTCTTCTTAATAACCAATATCCTTTCAGCATTTAAAAGCAAAGCAGAGAAGCCCTTAGATGCCTTGGGGGTTGTTCCCAGCACAGCAGGGTTTATCCTGTAAACAGAACAATATTCTGATGATCCATGAAGATAAGAGTGTTCTTCACTGTCAAAACCACCACCAGAAAACTCACCATTTTCCACTGGATTTTTCATAAATCTGAAGTTCGATTGACTGTACAGGTTCATGATCAGCCCCAGCACCAATCAAATACTGATAAAATAATGGAGGGCAGAATACTTTTTTCAAAATTACACTAGTCTTGATCCATTAAGGCGGGGAAAAGGAAAGAAAAAGAAACAGATCATGAAAAAAACTTCAAATTCAGGATGTGTTATTATTCATCATACTGTTTTGTTGCCAACATCAATGGCTGTTTGGTTTCCCTTAAACTTCAAATCAACCCCACTGTGAAGATCTCCAACCCCATTATCTGCAACAAGAGCGGGAGCTTCCCCCTTTAAGAACAAAACAATATCAGATCAAGAACCAATGGCCAGCTTCTGCTAAACAATTTCATGGTGTTTATAAAATGTACTATGTAACCTTACCATTGAGATTCAAGATTCAGTCACAGGACTTGAAGCCTCTAGTTCAAGGTTCTGCCTGATTCACCATAAAGAATGAGGTAGACGCCAGAATTAAGACTCTTAATTGAAAACCCCTGAACTTTATGTAAATATTCAAAATCAGAATTCAATAATAGAGAATTAGCCACAAAATACCAGAATCTGGACCTTTAAGCATCCAAGGACAACATTTGGTAAATGGTTCAAAACCCAGTAAAAATGTGATTTTTTAATACAATATTCAAAAACAAATTAAACCCATTGCCTAATGCATTGCCTTCTACGAAATCTTATTCCAATCAAGTAAAGAAACCCAATGTCCAAAATCATAATGGCACACAAATGAAAATATATGCGTTCACAAGGCAGAACGAATCAGATACGAGGTCGGATATATACCACCAGAAATTAGAGTCTCTGTGACTCTTTCTGCTAGAGGAATGGAAGGCGGGGTTTAATGGAGTTTTCTTGTTCCTTCTGCAACGAAGAAAACAAGTATTGTTGAAATTGGGCGTTAAAGTCCAAGAACGGATCTTTTCCAGATTTTAAAGAAGAACCAACACGGTATTGAAAAAGAGCCTGCGGCTAGGGAGGACGAAGAAGAAATCGTGAAAAAGATTGAGAAAACTTGCCATTTTTGTAGGCGAATGTGTGTGTGGGGGGAGAGAGAGAGAGAGAGAGAAGAAGTGGATCCTGGTCGCGTTAGGGACCCTCAGTCGGCCATCCCATTTTCCTCTCCTTTCCTTCTTTGTTATTGACTCCCGTCTGTCCTAACCATATTTTTTAGAACAGGACCGGTGATGGAACCGGTCAAGGTACTGATTCATTGGTTTACTGGTTGAACCAGTGGTTCAATTGGTCAAATCGGTGGTTTAAACGTATTTAAAAATTATATAAATATAAATATAAATATAAACATATAAATATAAATTTAAACATATGTATGTATGTATCTATGTATACGCATATACCCACACACATACATATAGACGCACACACACATTCTCTTTTATAAATACCTAAAGAAAGTAATTTATAACATTTGAATAATATTACACTAATATACTTGAGTTATTTTACTAAATTAGAAAATAAAATTTACATATTAAAAAATATAAAAAAAATTTAAATGAAGAGTTGATTTTATTTTTTCTCAAATAAGTTATTTAATACTATTAAAAAACATGAAATCTTTGCATGATCTTCATTTTGCAATAGTATCAACAATATCAATGATTTTGTGTTTGACTCATACCTATATAATATTATATTTATAGAATTGAAAAGGAATTTATATACAATCTTTTTTTGTAATAATGAAATATTATTAAAGATTATGTGAACTTGTAACAAAAAGAACCATTGCTTGGATGGTTATGAGCTCAACCAAATGTCTACGAGGTCTTTGGTTCAAACTCCCACGGAAGCATGTTTTGGAAAAAATAGAAAAAAAAACCTAGGTGGACCGGTCTGACCAGCCGGTTCTTATCGGGTTAAACCGGTTCGGGCCGGATCGAAGCATGTTACGGTCCAATGGGCCGGACCGGACCGATTGGACCACCGGTTCGCCGGTTCACGGTCCGAACCGATCGGTCCGGTCCGGTTTTTAAAACTATGGTCCTAACCATTTTCACTTGCATTCTTTAATTTTCAAAAAACTCTTTTATGAATAAAAAAATACTTTTTTTGGAAATAAAAAACTTACTTTTAGTTACCCTAAATAGACATAAGCACTTGCCTAATCTGCAAATCTGGTCGATCAGGCTTCGTCGGATTTTGTCAAAGGCAAGTTCGAAACCCCCGTGGTCTAACAAAAAAATGTAAGCCTTGTTTGGAAACAACGTTTTCGATTAACGTTTGGATAATATTCTAATGGTGTAGATGATATCTAAAAGTACTAACGCTTAAGGCTATTGTTTGAAGGCTCTGCACGCTTTCTTCTTTTGGGAATGATGGATCTTTTTCTTCCCCTTGCCCGTCGAGCCCTCAAGCCCTCCTCACAAGTCCCCGAAGCGTCGTTCACATCAATGTCGTGTGTTCCTCCCTTCGAGGCAGCAATGACAATCTTTAACTGCTCGGAAGTGATTCCAATCCGGTCAATAAGGTGCTAGCCTTCGTCTACGGTTATTGGTAGCTGACGATCAATGATTGCTCGGCTACTTCCCCTCCATGTTGGGGTTGCCGATAAGCTAATTAGTACTACTTCGTGTCTGCACCATTCTCGTTTAGCCGGAGGCAATCTTGAGCTGAATTTCTCAAGCTCTCAATGATAGCATCAATTTGATGGAAATAAATTCTACCGAAGAGCTTGAACCAATGACCAGATTAAATTATGAACTAGAAAAATATAGAACAAATTAAGAATAGAGCTTGAGAAAACAATAAAGAAGCACGAGTGAAATTACTGTATTTAGCCTATCGATTACAATGACTTCCACCAATATTTTTAGGTCTAGCATCAACGCTATATTCTGTCAATATTTATAGGCCTGCTAGGTGGCCCGTTTCTATTCTAGGGGTACAAGACAACTATCACCTATGGTTTGGGCCGAGCCCGGCTCCTAGAGGCCCAATTAGGGCTGTGCATTATTCGGTCCGAACCCGGACCGACCCGAAACCCGTCCAAAACCGGTCCGGACCGGTCCTTATTCAGTTCGGTCTTCGGTCCTCACATTTCCCTTATTCGGGTTCCGGTCCGGTCCGGTCCGGTCCACTGGGTTTCGGTCCGGACCGGTGGACCGGTTACATTTTTGTTTTTTTAAATATTAGTTTCTAAAAAGGTTTGTAATATAGTTTTTTTAAGTTTTTTTTCTTATACTTAAAATTACTTTTACTTTAATACTAAAGGTTTTTCAAATGTTTTGATTTTATTATGCAATATAATTTTTTTTATAAATATTCCAATTCAAAATAAGATACCAATTCTAATGATATTTAAATATTTTTAACATTAAAAGTATGAAAAAGTAAACATTACCTTTGTATTAGCGATCTAATGAATTTCAAATTTATGTACCAATACTATAACTTATGTTTGTACTTTATCACTAATAAAACTCTAATAAAAAACATTGCAAACAACATCATGAATAAAAACAGTAAAAAATGTATCCTTTGCTAAAATAAACTGAAAACACAAAAAAATTACTCCCTCCGTCCTATATCTTTCTTCCCGTTGCGCAAAATGTAGAAAAATCTAAGTTTTTTCAATCTATTTTATTTAAATATTGGTATAGAAATAAAAAATAAAACATACATATTTAAAAACTACATCAAAAGTTCAACAAAATAAGTGATGACAAGAATATTTTATTTTATCATATGGGCCATGAAAAAACACAAATAAATATAAATTCTCGTGAAGTTGGAATAGTGCTCTGAGAAGAAAGTTTTAGGACGGAGGGAGTATAAAAGTAAAAAACAATAAGAAGAAGAATATTCCATTTTAAAATAAAAATTATAAACAAATTTTATGCAATTCGAATAGAGGATATTTTTTTTTTAAAAGTTTTTAAAAAAATTAAAAACATCAATATTTGAAAATGTTTAGTGTATGTTATACATTAAAAATTAATTGTGGTAATATTTTTATACAATTGAATAGTTTAAATTAAATAAACAAAATCAAATTTAAAAAAAACCACATTAATTCGGTTCGGTCCCGGTCTGGTCCGGGTTTTACCGGTCCGGTCCCGGGCCGGTCCTTATCTAAATCGGTCCGGTCCTCGGTCCACAGGATCTCTCTTATTCGGTCCCGGTACAGTCCCGGTCCGATCCGGTCCGGTCTGGGTTTGACCCGATGAACACCCCTAGGCCCAATAACCCATCACTATCTACATGCTTTGCTGCGCAAATATTCTTTAGGACAAGATTGAGGGTACATGCTTTTCAATCATCTGTCCAATTGATTTACAATTACCCGCATTATTAATTACAATTTGGCCTATACTTCGATGACCCACTTAATCAATATCTTCTTTCACAAGTTAGGCAACAAAAGATTTGTCTTTGACGCGTCTCTAAAACAACTCACAACTTTAAGAAATATTAGACCATAACGAGAAATTGTTATGAAATTAATCAATGGCTTTCTTTTAGGATCACTTTATCCATCATAGTATATTGTGAGTCTATTTTTCTAGTCCAGCTCCCTTTAGAGGTTTCAATAAGCTCTCATCATCAGCTCTTTTTTGTAAAAGCAAAGAAATACACAACTTACTATATTATTGAAGTAAAATCTGCAATAGACTTTGCGCGTCGCAAAAAGTGTCTCTATTTCAATATTTTGCGATGGGAAGTACATGTGTGGGTGTAAATTAACACCCGGACAAACTACTCTGTATCAGGTCTATAATGTAATATCCTAGAAACTGGTTTAAAAGTTAATTAATAATTAAATAAATAAGAATTTTTATTTACGACAACCTATTCTTCTAAATAATCAAAAGATACTTTAGAGATTCCAATCGTGTCAATATAAAATGATTAATCTGATTATATTTTTAAAGATTTATATTAAAAGACTGATCGGTACTAATTAATCGAGAGAATTAATATGGATCAGCTGCAACTTATAAATACTAATTGATTGATTATAAAAGTTATATTGCTAGGTTAGGATCGACAAATCGTACCCGACGACGCAAACAGATCTCAATTCAAAACAAGTTACATACAAGAGTTTACACAAAACCCTAAATACATAAATACACGGCCGGCCTGGAGGTCACCCAATCGCCGCCATCACCTACCCCTCAATGGTCGCTTAATCCAGGGAGAGCGGTAGAGCCGGGAAGAAGTATACTCCTTGCCGGAAGTATACTCCTTTCCCCTTCACGCAGTCTTCCCATCCGGATTACCTTCTCCTTCGCGGATCCTTCCCAAGCAACCGACGACTGGCGACGATCAGGCATCAGTGTTTAAACGGCGGCATCCACAATTGAACCCGACACTGAGGGATAGATGATGGCGGCGATTGGGTGACCTCCATTACGAGTAGAGACTGTCCGCAGCAACAGCGAGGTTGAGGCCAACGACTTCTTCCGGTAGTGAACGTAGACGGTTGCATTAAAGTTTTGATGCAGTCTACTTTCTTGTGCCTTGTAGTTGCTATCACTTTTATGTTTAGGCTAACATAGATTCTTGGGAGTTGCTTCTGGGGTTCGCATCGATCTGCTTTAATATGTTTTTTTTGTAAATTTGACATTCCAGGCAACTTGAAGGTTGGAAAAAGGTTCAAAGCACTTCACGCTTTTCAGTTTGTAAGCTCATTTTGCTCCTAAATTAATAGTCATTTGACAATGGTTTGATATTTTATAAAGAAATCTAGGAATGCTCTTAAGTTGATTGATAGTAATCGGGCCGTGTTGGGTCTTAGACTCTTAGGTCAATTTTTGTGAAAACTAACTCACAATCCTTTCAATTGAAAAATTAGACTAATTTTAGCAGCACCAATTTACAGTTTTTATTTGGATGGAAAAATTAGACTAATTTTAGCAGCACCAATTTAGAACATCCAAATTTGAGGGACAGGGGTGAAGTTTCTAACCTTGAAGTATTTCAGGAAGGTTCAAATTATTTGGATGGATTAAGTGATTTTTCAATTCACCAATTTTTCACAGCTCATTTTTCCACCCTACCTGCAGAACTTGTCTCTGGCGTAGGGAGTGGTGTGTATGAAGGTTCTTTAGAAATGTTCCCTTTTTTTATTAAAAATTTATTTCCCTTAATTTCCAATTTGGTTGTTTGAGGTCTTTTCACAGTTTATTAGTTTAGCCCATGAGTTTCATAAACTGCCCTTGATTTGATTCATTGCACCCAACAAGAGAGCCCCCAAATTATCATGTACACGAGTGCATTTAACAGAATTTTTGGGAAGGTTAAGAAGTTAAATTCT